ATTTCCAGGTGGGTGTCTGTGCAGCACTTTTACTTCGATCCAAAGACAGGACAAATGAACAAAACCTGAGTGAAGCAAAACTTAGACCAAGGCCTCAAATCCCTTATGTGTCACAATTAGATATACATCAATATCAAAAATCACAGAGAGTTTTATGACCACGAGAACGTGCGATCAATAAATAGCAGATATTTAACATAGCAATGGAGATGGTTTGAAATCCGTCTTATCCTGATGGTTTTCTTCTTCCTTCAGATTTTTGTTGGAGGGCCCACACTAGCTCAGGGCTACCTGAACAGACCAGAATTAGATGCCTCCAGATTTATAGAGCGTCCAAATGAAGTGCCAAAAGCTGCTGGTCCGCGGCTGTACAGGACAGGGGACTGGGGATACTTGCTATCATCTGGGTTATTAGAGATTTGTGGCAGATGTGATACAATGGTAAAAATCCGAGGATACAGCATTGAAATACAGGTGGGAATGATGGTTGTTGTAACCGAGGTAAAGAGCTTGAGAGGCGACTGCGTCAATCAAAAATGAACGTGGAGTATTTCATTACTCCCCATGATCGTAGGCATTCCATTGCAGATTTATGACATAACTAAAGTAAAACGTACGCTCTGATTGGTCAATTCAGTGTCCACCATTTTGCGATGGGTGTACGCTGCTGACGTGAGCAAATGCATAGACTAGTTTCCATGCCCTTGTTTTTTCTGATCACGTAAGATTTCAGTGTTAAATAATAAAAGAGAACTCTTTTGCTACAATGTCTCAATGTGATGTTATAAAACAAATGGTAAACACCACGCTGTGGTGTTTACCATTTGTTGATTTCCATTGATCTAGCATTTCACCATTTTATCATTTTTACCTCTGCCGAAAGTCTGCTATTGAAGATGTCTACTATTTGGAAGAGAAAAGCATGGGTAGACTGATGTCTTGCTCAGGAAACACGACCTATTGACTTGATCACGCTCACCATTCGGTGGGTGGGCACATTAACCATGGGTGCCTGCGTTTCCCTTTTTCATAATCTTCTAGATTGTTTCTATCATAGATTTTTAGCTCCAATTCATCTTAGGTGACGGGTGTGTTGTTTCAGGCCTTATTTTCACTATTGCTTAAATAGTGCTTTAATGCGAGGATCGTGCACATGTACGTTTCATGACCGCAGTTCAGATATATGTATTTCATAATTTATATTGGTTGTGTTTGATTTATCATCGTACAAGTTTATGTCGAGTTGCCTTGTTAGCTCAATTAATAGAGCGCTGCACTAGTATCGCAGAAGTCAATGGTTCGAATCCCGTACAGGCCTGAATTTTTTCGGGACTTATTTTCACTATTGCTTAAATAATGCTTTACTGCGAGGATCGTGCACATATATATATCTTATTAACCAAGCGCGAGGGCCGTAGTGGGAGAATATCGGCCCGAGGTCTTGACAGTACGGACCGAGCGCAGCGAGGTCCGTACAAAAAAGACCGAGGGCCGATATTCTTCCAGTACGGTCCCGAGCAAGCTTGGTTAATAAGAGATTTATTATACGACTGAAGTTCAAAGGGACACAAGTGCGGTATCATTCGGGACCATTCGGGACAGTGCCCGGTCCAATACTGAGAGAATATTGACCGGAAATAGAGCATTTTGATTGGTTGATTTTAGTTATTGGCCCTCTGACTGCCCGAGTCGTGTAATAAAAATTTGTATTGTATTGTTGTATTTTAACAGGCTGTTGAAGCTGCCCTGTTGCAGCTACCCATGGTCAATGGATGCTCTGTGGTAGCCCACGGAGATGAAGGTGAAGATAAGTACCTGGCAGCTTATGTTGTTCCAGAAGGGAAAGCTAACAAGAAAGATATCAGAGCTGCTCTGAAGACAAGGCTTCCATTCTACATGATACCATCACATTTTGTTCTTCTTGCCAGGTTAGTTTAATTTCAGTGGTTGTAAAGTGGATGTTATATAAAGGTGAGACAGCTTAAGGGAAATCCTCCTCTTTTCTGATGATGACTTGTAACCTAGTGATTATTCTGCAGAGCAGGCGTAATTTGGGCGAGCGATCGCCGGAGTGCTCAGTATCTTCTTAGCGAAAAATGGCCGCCATCTTTGATTTAAATGGAAGGAAGGCTGAGAAGAGAAAGAAATTTGTACCAATGGGGTGAGTGACGGTCAAAAATAAGGAGAGGGGCTGGAGTGGGGGAATGACCCGCTCCCTTCCCCTTCCGTCGACCCTAACTCCAAATTAAACATGGCCGGTTAAATAAACGGTCGCGCGCTTCTTAACGTTAACTCGCCCTAATAGAACGCCTGCACTGCAGGCTACCTAGTGATTGGTGTAATTTTCTTTCGATCATTAGGCTAAGGTCAATGGCTCTTTCTAATGCAATGCATCTCCATACTATAAGTAATTTCATGATTAGCATGTCCCTATAAAGAACACGTCCCTATAAACTATGTCACTATGTCCCTATAAGAAAAAATGGTCGCTTCTTTCGCTGTGGCTTAAGGTATCGTGAGGATATCTTTTAGGGAAATCCTAGGAATTTGTGTTGGATATGCTGCGATAGACTTACGCCACGTTTAACAAGAGTAAGAGGTGGTCGAGTGGTCTTGTAATTTTGTGGTCCTGGGTTCAAGTCCGCCACCCTGCTAATCATCGGGTTTGTTTTGGGTTTGCCTGGGTTCAACTCCTTGGCCACATAGAGCCAACTGGTTTGCCTCTTGCCAGCTCTTGTAGTGGGAAGTCATTCTTGCATCAAGTCTTTACCCCAGCTTTTAGAAATGATTGCAACTTTTTATAACCCTCCTTCCTAACGTTTTCTATTACAGTGATTCTTATTATTCAATTGCAATCTTTTAGTATTCCTGTGACGCCTGCGGGAAAGCTTGACAAAAACAGACTACCTGCCATTGGTTCATCTGGAACTGAAGAGGAAAGTTTGCCCAGCACTCCAACAGAACACGATCTCGCTAAGCTTTGGTGTGAATTATTAAACCTACCCAACATTGATGTTCAAGAGGGGTTTTTTGATTTAGGAGGGTAAGCTCAGTAGAATGTCAAGAGGAAATAAAGGAAAAGAGAGGAACAATAAAGCCTTAAGCTGGGATACGTCGATTACTCGAAAGTTATTTTTGGATTTAGACAGAAACGGTGCTTTATTATTTATCAGAGGTCCGTGTTATGAGGCTTCACTAACAAAACCCATTTCTCTTCTTTTTTTGAGGTTGTTTCCATCGGCAAAGCTAATTTCCACGCTGTCCGCCAATTTGAACACAGTTTGAATTCTCTTGAAACCATTCTTTGCATTGGATCATAAATTCACGCTCGAGTAGCGTTTACTTTACGATTTCGATTTTGATGCTTAAGATGAAGCGTGGATTAAATCTGTGTAATCGTATGGAATGAAGAATAAGCAAACTGATGAATTGGCCGCCAAGATGAGCTTAGTTTGGTTTATTAATAATGTGAAGTATGTTCCCCTTACTGATTTTCCAAATTATTTTGGTAGACATTCTCTTTTGGTGACACAACTGCTGGTAAAAGTGAATAATAAGTTTGGTGTCAACTTGACAGTCCACGACCTGTTCAACTGCCCCACAGTAGCGGACATGGCCAAGACGATTGATCAACTTAAGGTCAACACTAGCAGGAGGTAAGCACATTGATGTATCGTTTTACCATTGTCATTATCCAATCAACATGCCAGTGACTTAGTTGTGTCCATTTTAGAAAATTTCATATATACTTTATGCCATTTATGCATTTTGGTATATATTTGTAATGGACATACTTCTCCTAGGGTAGTTTGTTCAAATTAATTATTGATTAATTTATTGAATGAAACAATGATTGAATGATTTTTAATGAAAATACAAATCATATTCGAATCCTTTACCACTAAGTACTTAAAGCTTTGCTGAAATTTTTAACACTAATGCAAGGGATTTTTCCTGAGAAAATGGACACTGCAAAGAGGTTACCAATGGTAATGATTTTTAAAAGAATTTATGGCATGTTCTTAGTATATCACAAAGACTTAACTCCTAAACATTACTCTTTGAAATGAACTTGAATGATATCTAAATTATCAGTGTAATGAATGAAGACTTGATTGTCTAATGTACAAAATGCTCTGAAATTAAAATCAAGAATTCCAAACTTAGCCCTGAACCAGACTCAACTAAAACAAAACTGTTTGATAATTAATTACCTCTACATTTGACACTGTATTTAAGCAATCCTTTTCACCACCATAAATGTTCCAATAAGTCCCACCACGGTAAGGATAAATGTCCATGGTTTTCCAAAAAGAGCCTCGTTAGGAAGGGGACTTTTTTAGTGAAGGAGGCGTCCTTATTCAAAACTGAGTGGTGGACCATCATAGCCGAATACTATACACGGCTTCATTACTCGAGCAACAGTGCCACTATTAAAGAGTTTCTGCCGTGGGGGAATGGGGAAGAGGAGGAGGAGGAGAAGGGGGAGGAGGGGGTAGGAGAAAGTTGATAATTTAGATGAGGTTTTTTAAGGAAAGGGGGCTAATTACGATGAGTGAGGCCTTCAAGAGCGTTTATTGTGTATAACAAACCTGCATAATCTATGGCCTTCCCCAACTCGATAAAGACGATAGAACTGAAGACGTATGTTCTGTGACATTTTGTAATAACGAGGCATTTTGTAATAACCCACACATTCTGTAGCAACGTTTGATGTTACAAAATGCTGCAGAACAACGTAATTGAATTATACTTTGTAATTATTGTTGAATTGCTCAACCAAAATCATATCGATCAGTCATCTTTATTAAATATTAACGTAACTTAACTTTTAAAACTACATCGCATAAAATAACATTAAGGGTCTGAAGTGATAATGGGGATAATATTAAAATGTAATATTGTATTGTAATCAGTGAAGATGCTAGGACGAAGATGAAAGAAAGCTGTTCGTGCATAAGGTATTCTTACAGTTGTAATGGGTCATGCATGCAAGTTTTATCGAGCGCAATACAAATTCACTGAATCACTGCAACTAATCTAAACAAGGGAAACATGGAAAGAAAACACGCGTAACTGGCACGGGAACTGATGTGAGAGAACAAGTCGTGATTGTTTTGAGTTTTGCATATTACCGGTTGAGAGAAGAAGTGGGCTTTTAGAGCAATGGCGTAGTGAAGTGAAGGCAATTAAATCCTGGTTTATTTTCTATGACTACATAATAACTGCCAAAAAGATATTCAAGAAGCGCCTAACTAGTACTTTGGGAGGAGGCCTGTTTCGAATCCCATCGAAACCTGATTTTTCTCACTTTTCTGCAATTTCCTAAATTGCAGTCTGCCTGCGATGATCATTTCTCTGCTTTATTTTCACCCGCAGGTCGAATGAAATCTATTTTATTAAAAAGATTGTGATATTTTCCTACTGTTCTACAAAGACAAAAGTATACGAGTTTGAGAGAACTGCTCGAATCTAATAAATGAATCGCACCAGGTCAAGTTTTGATTAGGATTCAACAAACTCACAGACGATAAAAACGTGAGATTTTCTACTAGAATCACCTTGAGGTCAATTTGCTTCATGGATTTTACGATGAGTGAAAGAATCGCCTTATTTTGCAAATCCTTGATTTTAGGGATAAATCTGTGGACAAGGTTGACCTTCTGGAGGAAGTTAATTACCATTCAGCTGCCGAGGGAATTATGAAGTTAGTATCTGATAAAACATTATATCTGGAACTTCTTATTCCTTGCAAATTTTTGCTACGTTAATTAACGCTCGAGGCTATGGACCTGAAGCAAAAATTAGTGAAACGTTTAGAAAATAAAACAAACTTTGTTGTGACTCGATTTTATCCTTGGTTTAAGAGGCTGGATATAGTTTTTCACTTTTCTGATGCAAGATATTTAAACTGGTCGCCATGTTTGTTTGTTTCAGTGTGTGTTTGTTGCAACTTTTAAAAGTCCTGGGGAAATTAGAACCCAGTCTGTGCGCGCCAAAGGAACTATATCCAGCCTCCTTAAGTTGTATTTTACTAATCATGCGATGGGCTACAACCTTGGTTGGAAAATTTTGTTGCTCATCATTTTTGCTTCAACATTAAAAGGGAAATGAACTCCCAAGACTTCACTTGCTGTGTGAATTTATAACCAGGATGCGTTGCTTTTACGAATTTTCCATCACAATTTCAAGTCCAAGATTATAGTTGTTAGCTCGCTGGAATTCGTTGATCGAAAGATCTAGGTCTGTGCCTGAGACACTGACCCAGACCGCTGTCTTTCTGCTTAATTTAAAACTCCTTTGTCGTGTTTTTTTAAACTGAACAGCATGGATATCATGTTGAGAGCGTTTTGGCGCTCTGGAAACTTCAAGAACTTGCGTCGCTGGAACAGGGGACGTGTTATGTTGACAGGCGCTACTGGATTTTTGGGAGTATTCCTGCTTAGGGACCTCATCAGGTTGACAAAGGTAGGTACGGGCTCAAGTCATTTCCGAACTACCTTGGGCCTCTTTTTTCAAAACGAAGCCTGGTGCTCAACATTCTTGCGAAAATGAATTTTCCTTTTAAACAAGAGGCCAGAGGTTTTTCGGAAGTGGGTTATTCACATCAAACGGCTTGTATATTTCCAGTCTACTTTTTCTGCACTGATTTAAAATGCACTTAACCTGTTAGGATCAACTCGTCATTTGTGAAGGATAATTTGACTTCTTGAAGATCATACAACTCAAGTTACGAGATCTCGTACGGGAAAATGTACCGGATTTTTACCCATTAAATAGACACAAACTGACTGATACTTCACGGACTTGTGAGGTCCTTTAAAGTCCTGGAAGGGCTGTCCGGAAAAGGGTTGAAAAGGGCTACTGCTGTGACTGACATTTAAACAGAGACTGTTTCAAGTGGAGCGAATCAGTAACCGAACAAAAATATAACTCTTCACATTAATGTGACGATCACATCCCAAAAGGCAGTGACACGCTCTGCTACTAGCATCACTGTATCACAATTCGAAATAAAGTCAATTTGACCAACTAGTCAACGTTGGTTGTTATTACCGACTGAGCTAAAAGCCACACGTTGGGAACGATGCAAATTTTAGAGGGCTTTTCATTCTTGTGGAGAAATCTGCTCGCAATTTCCAATGACGAAAATTTTCATCGTTCCCCAAGGAGTGGCCTCTTCGCTCAGTTGGTAATAGCACCCAACTAGTATCTGGGAGGCACTGCCGGGTTCTATAATCCCGTCGCAGCCTGGATTTTTTTCAGGCCTTCCTTCTACAATTTATTTCATTGCACCTTACCTACGATTATTATGTCTTCACTTGCCGTTTGCATTGTGCTGAATTTTAAAATAGCGAGATCAATCCACAATATTTCTTTTGCTGCAGGTTCACATTTTCTGTGTTGTGCGCGAGCGACCTGGTGGTAGAGATGGGAAAGAAAGGTTGAAGAAAGCTCTGCAGAGTTTCAAGATATTGCCACAAACGAACGATCGTCAGCAAATGACTGAAGAAGAGCGATACGTGGACTATGGCTTTGAGCACAGAGTTACTTTTGTGAAAGGTACGTGTCTCAGCCCTAAGGTTAAGAGTACTTTTCCAATTGAGTGTCGAAAGTTTTGTAGGATTGTAATGATTTTGATTTACTTCGCTTTATAATGGTCCACAAAACTCACACTGTCTTATCAACGAATCGGTTGAAGCACTCGCTACTCGATCAAACGCGTTTTCCCACGCTTTAGGTAACTGACGGGATTTTTCTTTGAGTTCTCATCGGCTCTTTGCGATCTTTTTCTTTGTTTTGATTGGCCGGTCTTTCGACAGTCTACATTCACAAGCTCCAGCCAATCCCGGGGCTTATAAAGGTTTCCTTTAGTTGATCAATATTTTTGTGTTTCTTTTTTTCGTTCATTTGTGCGTGTTTATTTTGGGTACGTAATCGCCCTGTTTTTTTTTAGCGCGATAAACTGCAGCGTGCTTGGAATATGAAGATTTAAGTGACTTGTGAATCAGCATTACGTTCTCCTTGTGTTTTACAATGGAGTAGGAGACAATTTGGAAGGAGAAACAAGCAGTCCATCAGAATTTACCTAGAGCATGGAATAAACATGCATAAGCTCGTCATTACCAACTACTTCTTTGTGTTCAGGTGATGTTTCTCTGATAAAGCTGGGAATGAGTGAAGAAGAATATGTGCACTTGTCATCCGAGGTATGAATACTTATGTGGCAGCGGAACATTTTTCAACAGAGTTTTGAAAGTAATCTAAGACTGCATTGGTTCTGTCGTACTACACTCTTTGATTGGTCCGGGATACTGACTTAGATTCGAGGCTAATTCGATACAAAACAAGACACAATCGCTACTTGGTCAATCTCTTATTTGAGATCATCTTGTACTTTTGCGGTTACATATTTGTATGGCCCGCTACAAACAATCTCCTGAAAACACTGATAGTTGTATTAAGTCTTTAGAACCTTGTTCTCTGATTTGATGGAATATACATTCTTGCCACCTACAGACGATTTACTGTTACTATGATTACAATACGTTAAGAAAAACATTTGTTCAACATAATGTCTTAAACTAGATTATAGCAATTTTTTCACTTTAAGATATCGTTGATTGATCAAAATTATTTACTAGTATCAAAATTGTAATTGTGACTTGAGGAATTAAGTTAACCAAAAGTTTTTTTGTTAGCCCCTCGTGGAACACCTCTCTAAAGCTAGTGGTGTCTGCAGTTGAGCTTTGATCTAAGATAGTTGCATTGAGTAATGGATTATTTTAGCGTCTTCGCTAACTTTGCCGGCTTCGTCGGTTTATGTGACCAAGTTAGAGTATCACAGATCCAGGGCTCCCTCCAGCGCGTTCTTTGCCTGTGTTTTTCACGTTTTTCATTACAGATTGACTTCATTATTCATGCTGCCGCGGCAGTGAACATGGTTTATCCTTATCAGGTACAGTTTTCATATTTTATGCAAGTTGACCAATAAGCCAATTTACAGACTTAGTTGCCAAGCCTTTGATTTAGAGTGAGGCTGAAGGTGACCTGGTTGTGATCGAGACTAGTATCTAGTTCGCATGATAACAAAGTAATTTACATTTGAAAGGTGCAGCAAGGTTTGTATCATAACAAGGTCGCCCCTAGCCTCACTCCTGTGTTAAGGCTTGGCAACCAAGCATGCAACTGTAAACTGCACGATCAAACGGTTAAGATATGAAGAATGAGTGAGTTAATAAATTGCCTCCATACTTAATTTTTTTTCCTATTTTGCCTTTTTTGTACTGTTACTAGTGTTCCATATCATTTCGCCTACAATTCACAGGCTTTGCGAGGAGCGAATGTTCAAGGAACCCAAAATGTCCTTCTTTTCGCATGTACCAGTAAAATTAAACCTCTTCATTATATCAGGTATGCTTCCCTTTTTCAATCGTGCATTGAATCATTCGGTGATTCAATTTTGTGTAAAAGTCTTCAACGTGATTCACCAACTTAAGTAAGAGTACTCTCTTCTTTTATAGCACGGATGCTGTGTTTCCGCACGGATTGTCAAACTGTTCTGAAGATGCAGACATGATGCAATATGCATCGCAACTTGAGGATGGGTGAGTTGAAACGTTGTTTCTCTCTTTAACCCGGCAAACAACGGAGCCTTATGCCAATTTTCTTGGCATTAAACGACTGATCATGATTTACTTACAAGTTTAGCTGCGTAAGTCAAGCTCGGAGCGAGATGTGTGTAAGTAACGGCCCTGATCGACGAAACTGAGTGTTGAGTGCGGGATAGGACAGTCTTCTGGGAACGCTAGCAACCTCAAACAATTTTAAGACAATTATTAAAGCGACTGTTGGACCTGGCCGGGTCCTGTTGTTGTCTTCTTGGATAGAATACTTTAATTTCATTCTGCCCTCTCCACTCTGGAGTATAATTGGGTACCTGGCGGGGG